CACGCTATTGTGTACGTGTGTGTATGGAGGTCAGTCAGAGAACAACGCGCAGCAGTTGATCCTCTCCCTCCACCCTTTGGATACTGGGAACCAAACTAAGGTCTTTGGGCTTGGCAGCAAGCACGAATACACAGTGAGCCATCTTTTTTGTTGTTGTTGTTGTTTTTCAAGACAGGGGTTCATTGTGTAGTCCTGTCTGCCCTGGCACTAGCTCTTTGGACCAAGCTGGTCTTGAACTCACAGAGACGGAAGAGCCATTTTGATAACCCTCAAATGCATACAACAGAAAAATGACTTTAAATTTTTTTTGGTGGGGGGAGCACATGCTACTTGCCATTGCAAAGGCCTGGCAGTCAAAGAGAGAACTTATGAGAGTCGGTACTCTTCTGCCTCATGAGTTTTGGGGCTTCAGCTCAGGTCATCAGGTTTGGGTGCATCTTCTTAGCCATCTGCCTAATTCTACCACACTGAAAAATATAATCCATTGTGGCTTTATTTATTTGTTTGTTTATTTATACTCTGTGTGTTTGTATGTTGATGTTAGTGTGGAGGTCAGAGGCCAAGTTTCAGAAATCAGTTCTTAATTTCCACTGTGTGGGTTCTGGACTGAAAATTAGGTTGTCAGGTTTAGTGGCAAGCCCCTTTACCCACTGAAACGTCTCGATGACCATAATTCCACCTTGAAGGCATACAACAAAAATGTCTACATTTTTTAAAAATTACGTTTGTGTGTTTGGGTGGTGGTGGATTACGTGTACATTCTGTGACACACACATGAAAGTCAGAACAACTGGAGGAAATCCCTTCTCTTGCCACGGTGTGGGCTTCAGGCTTCGGTTTGGCAGCACGTCTGTACTGGCCGAACCGGGGGGGGGCGAGGGGGGTGAGGGCTCTTTACTAAAAGATGGGAGTTGTGGGATTATTTGGAGTCTAGTAGTTATCTTTCATTGTGTTGCGCAAATATTAGAAGGAGAAACGCAACATCTTTGGCCTGAGAAATTAGAACAGAGTCCTTCCCCTGTCACGAGGTCCAGGAAAGAGGACTGCAGCGCCTCTGGGCGCGGCTTTTGCTGGCCTCTCAGTTCCTGCAGTTTGAGCGCCCCAGGGGGCGTGCATCACTCAACCCAGTCCGCCGCAAGGCCCAAAAAATGTCTGCTGCTCCGCCTAACTCTCCACTTGGTGGCGTACCTGCACATGTTAGCCTGGACCTCCCTGCTTCCTTCTTTTATCTTCCCTCCCTGGGGTCACTTTTGGCTCCTCCCTGCCCCTCCTGCTCGCTCTTTTCTCCTCGTGTTCACTGGTTGTGCCACGAAGAATTCTGCCGTCCTCCTTCCTGGGAGTTCTAGACTTTAAAGGTCCCAGAAAGATGTCAACAGTTCTGTGGACCTTCCACAACAGAGACATCATGCGCAGGAACCAGATGTCTCGGCCTAACTCCAACCCGAATGCCACAGTCGGCACCAATGGGGAGGCTCCTGCCAGGG